CATTGAGAATGCCCACCATACACCCCCGACAAATGGCATGTCGATTGCAGGCCAAAATGAAAGAAGAACGGTCACACAAAGGAGCATGCATTCAGTATAGCGGCCATGGCCGCAAAATGGACATATAGTGTCCGGATGCGGAGGGTGCCTGCAGTCAGGAACGGTGGTACAGTCCTCTGCACACATGGATGCAGAAACCATGTCATTGTAGTGATTGTGACAGAGACGATGGCGGCTACAGCCGAGTGTGACAGTGTTTGTGGCTGTGCAAAGGAAAAGGTCGCAGAGTGTTGGTACATTCTCTTGCTGCAGCACGGGGCCAGAGGAATGATCTTCGACATAAAAGAGATTGCGGACGATTTGTTGTGGCAAGAAAACAGCATCATTTTGTAAGAAATAAGTGACATCAATCATGGCATGGACCATGGTGCCGTTGTCCCACAGCTCACAGTGGTCAGAGGCATGTACAATGGCCATGTAATGGCCAGGTCCGTGCACAATGCAGGCAGAGATGTGGGATGGAGGATTAAACCACTCACCTGCTCGAGCATTGCGGAGTTCAAGTTGGCGGTCCCTCATTGCTACTTGTAGGACACCAATGGTAAAGCCTCCTTCGCTGGTATAATTACAATCCTCTGGCTGTCCTTGGGGAAGATCAGCATCAAGCTGAAGGGCGATTGCAAGGAAATCTGATGGTGTATAAAACGGGCGGTCAAGAATGTGAAGACAGATATTAGTTGCTGTCAGACCACAGAGATTGGTGAGGTTCTCAGGCTGGTTTGTTAAATGCTGGCCAACAATTTGCAGATCACCCAGATGGTGTTGCAAGCCCAATCTGTGCTGGGTTGTTTGCTGGTCAGTCATTTGCAGATCACCCATGTGGTCTGCACGTGGCGGAGCACAAGAACAATACTGGTCATCCATTTGCAGATCCCCATGTGGTCTACGCCTAGTGGGGTCAACTGCAATCCGAGCAGATCATGTTCCAATCCCTCAACGTTTAGGGCTGCATCCTGAGTAAGGACTGTACCTGGAGTCAGGAGTTTACTCTGGGCAGCGGCTGCATCCTGAGTAGGGACTGTACCTGGAGTCGGGAGTGTACTCTGGGCAGGGACCACATTGTGTTGTACAGGTAAGTCGTGAATATCTAACGCTGCAGGGTCCCGTGGCTGCCTGCAGGCAGCTTGACTGTCTGCAGGAGGCATAGGAGCGGATATTGCCGTTTGAAACAAAGGAACCACAACAACCTGTGGAGGAGGCATAGAGAGAATCGGGGCAGACAAAGAAACAGGTTGCTGATCCCCGGACAAGTGACGACGCCGCGGATGTCGTCGGTGATACACAACAAGAGGAGTAGTGGTGTTGCAAACAGAAGCTGAACTTGTACCTAGCAACGAAGGTGGAACAATGGGAACAACGAAAACTGGAGAGTCTGTTCACAAGCGAGACCGTGGAGGAGATGGGGGTGGTAAGGAGGAATGCACCCATCTACGGCCAAGCACAGATAGAGATGACAGGGGGGTGCATTGGGCTATATTGACCCGGTTTTGGGTCCGACCGGATTTCCGGTTGGACAACCGGGGTTCCAACCGGCCCAGTTGGGTCCGGTCCGGTCCGGTCCAACCAGCTGGTGGCCGGTGCAACCCTGGATTGTTATCAAATCTTTTGAAATTCAGAGAAGCCGTGCTTGCGTTTGTTCTTTCAAGAATGTATCTCACCACTATAACAGGTGAGATTCTGAATATTGTTTTTTCTCCTACAACCTCAGCCGATGATGCCTTGCTCATAGCGGCCCCACTAATCAACTTTTGTAAGGGACCTCAGGCCTGGTTCCCAGGTTTTGTAATATAAAGTCCTTTTTTTTTTGTCTTCTTTTTATTTTCCAGATTCTGACAACAAGGCCACGTTTCTCTTTTTATTTTTATCTTGTACTTTCTAGATTCTGACAACCCATCACTGAGGGCATGCTCACACAAGCACTTTGGAGAATGTATCCAACTGCATGCACGTCCCTGGTGTTGTTGCTTTTTTTTTTTTTTCATCCTACTGGTTCCTCCAGGCTCAGCCCGTGCTGCACTGGTACCTCCAGGCTCAGCAGGCTCGGCATACCGTCGCCTGAGGGTCGGACTGCGTAGCTGGGAGAGGTACTGGTGGTTTAACCAACGGTTACATGAGCGCAGAAAAAGACAGACCCTGACAGCTCACCCTTTTGCAAAATGTGCTCAGGTAAGGGCATACTTGCACTAGCACGCATTTTCATAAAAATGTAAATTGTAGGTGATTTTTTGGGTCACAATGGCTACGTATTTTGCATTTTCACGCAAATGGGCACATAAATGTCAGTGGCTGGACAGCCGCGGGGTTATGTAATTTGCAGGAACCTCTGGAGGTCCCCGCAATTGCTTATTTCTTTTAGACCTGTTTTTTACTGGAAACAAAAAAAAAGAATTCGATGTTTGGTGGGCCTCTCTCGTAAGAAAAAAAAGAAAAAAGGAAAAAGGGATGGATTTTTAAATTTTAATATTTTTTTATGCATCGTGCTGTGTGACCCCTGGCCCGCATAATCGCATTCCTAGAGCAGGTAGAGACTGTGTCCTTTTTGTTTTGTGACATATACGGGTGTGCTGTGTGACTGAGAAGTGTCGTATAATCGCAAATTGGCCCCCACATATAATTTGCGATTGTATGTGCTAGTGTCAGTACAACGAGGAGGACATTATTCATTGTCTAAAAAAACGCCCGGCTGCTGTCTGGGTCTGGTCCAGAGTCACCAAACTATCGTCCTCCTTGTTCGCCATTACTCTCCACGCAAGAAGCGGTTAACAGAGCCCCAAAATTTAAGGTATTTTTTCAGGGTCATTATAACAAGCGTCATACACCTTTTAAACCAGACTTGTCATTAGTCCATAGAGTGAACACCACTTTTCAGTGTGTGTGGGGGGGGGGGGGGTTAACCCAGGGCTGGAAAGTCGGGGTCCCTGTTAACCACTCGTGCTCCACGCCTCCCTGATCTCCACCCTCCTGGCCGCCATTCGGATCCCCCCATATGTGAGAGGCCAATCATTGACCAGGTATTTGATGTCGAGGAAATTCACCCTTTGGATTATCCGGAAGCAAAGATGTTCACTGACTATGGATGGCGGCAATGAGGCAGGCAGGCAAGAAAAATATAAATCTCCAGGCAGCAAACCACAATGAAAAGGTATAAAATGAATGCACAGCACGAAATAAGCAACAACGGCAGGAGTGTGTGCTTTGATGTACCTTGCTTGACTTGGCGGTGGAATAGGAACCGGACTGACGCTACCCAGAACGGAAAAGGAGCCAGAACCATAATGCTAGTTTTAAAAATAAAAAACAAAAAACAAAAGAGTAACAAACTAAGAAGATTTGCCGGCCGGTCTGGACCGGCCGGTCACCCGGGCGTGAAGCCCAGGGGGGTCTGACGCCTGGGACACCCGGGCATGGGAAAAAAAAAATTTATAAAAAATTGGCGGTGGGGTTTTTCTGCGCTCTCTGAGAGGAGCCCAATTCCGGGCCTGTTTCTTTCTTTGAGAGTTGGCTGTCAAGGGGGGAAAGGGGAGTATAAATGAATTTAAAAGGGGCTGAAGGGGTTTAAACTTTAAAGAGGGGTGCCTTAGTGCAATTTTTTTTTTTTTTTTAATCTTTGTTTTTTTTTCCCAATCTTTGGTTATTTTCTTTTGAATCTTCAGTTCCGTAAGGGATTCTGATGTGACTCTCAGCCAAAAGTTGTTTGTATTGCAATTCTACACAACATATTTATTTTTCAGATTTTTTTTTTTCAAACTGGGCGTGACGTCGGGACCTGGGCGTCCGGGCTCTCCCTAGGTAACAAAGGCAGGCAACAAACCGCCAGGGAAAGGTGTAAAATGAATGCAAACAGAAAGAAACAACAAAAGGAACACCCATGGTAACCCCGGACCCGGAAACCGGACGCTTCCGGACTGTCTTCCGGACCAGTGTCTGGACCGGTCCGGACTGTCCGGTGATCCGGACATCACCGGACACCGGACAGTCCGGACTGGTCCCCGGGGTGCAAAAATGTCCGGACCCAAAAAAAAAAGGGAAGGTTGGGTGGGGGTGTTGGCAGGCACTTGCCTGCTTTGCACTCTGTAGTTCAGGCAGCAAAGCACGTGTCTTGCAGCACATCCACCAGCACATTTAACTAGCAGACATGCAGAGTTGCAAACAGTGCAAAGCAGGCACAAGACTA